ATCCAACAGCTATATTTTGTAAAGTTTTCAATGATGCATTTGATATCACAAATTGCCGTAATAAATTAGCAAAAGGAAATTATTACCTCCAATTAACAATAAGACATTGCCTCACATAAAACAATTTTTGGATAAATAAAAATCATATGTGGAAAATCTTCGTTATGAAGGAAGTACAAGTCAGCCTGAAGGTGAACTTTTATTAAAAAGTCAACGAAAAACAGGATTTTTAGGATTGATTTATGCATCACTAATTTGATACATTTGTTTGAGGTGGTTAAGCGTTATGAGATGATTTACATACGTGGGTGTAAACTAAGCCAAGACCATTTGGAAGTTTTTTTTTAGTGCAATGCGAAGTCGCGGAGGATACAACAATAATCCAAATTCAGTTCAATTTAAAACAGCATACAAACGTCTTCTAGTAAGACATGAAATAAAATCATCAGAATATGGAAATTGTTCAGTACTCGATACCTGTAGTATTTTTTTTGTAGGCACTGCAATGAGAAAGGACGCAGATGCAATTTGTGATGTAAATACAGACACCAATGAAAATGTAGCCTTATATTTTGATGAAGTTGATCATGATTATTATAAGCACCTACCAGTACTGGAAGAATATGTGGTTGATATTGTTAAATACACTTCTGGTTTTATTGTTTCTAAAATTAAAAAAAAAAGGAAAATCTTTGCAAAATATGTGACTTACATTTATCACAAGAAATAGATTTAGATACATCATTATTATTAAAAATAAAATCAAAGGGTAAATTAATAAATTCATCGTTAGATGTAAATAAAATATGTTTAACTGCCGAATACATATTGAGACTTAATACAAGCATTTTATTATCAGATAAAAATATAAAGCATAAATTAAGTGTACAATCATTAAATGAACTTAGTACAGACTCTTCAATATTTAACACACAAACAATGATGGATCATATTCTTACTCAAGACATTTTTGACAACCATAGGATAAAATTAATTAAACTTATACTTGAATATTATATAGAATTAAGGATGCACCACTATGTAAAATTACACACTCAACAAATTACAGGGAAAAACATAAGGAGAAATTATACAAAACTAATATTATTTAAAAATCAATAGCTGATAATAATGTATCTAATTTTTAAAATATATTTATAATATAATTCATAAAAATATTATTTTTATTATTTTATAGTATGAATATGTGGTTTTACTTTTACATTTATTATTATTAATTAGGTATTCATTTATTTTAACTAATTTAAAAAGATTGTCAATTTATTTTAAATACTTTTTAATAGTTTAACTATTATACTACTAATTATTAATTAATAATAAACATTTTAATTAATTAATTAAATTGAATTTATTGAATTGGTAATAAGTTGATATCTATATAATGTAATATGACATATAATAGATTATTGTCTTTTGATAAGAAATACGAATAAATGGTTTGAGCTAAATATGCGACTAGTAGCTAGCGGCGCATGCGCAATAGAGGTCATATTATTGGCAACTCGTCGCGAACATGTACATCATCGCCAATGAATCTAGGACAAAATATCCACGGACAAAATATCCAAATGTATCCGTTTTTATGTAAATTAGTAGATTACACTTTACTTACTAATGAAATTAGCTCAAATTACTAATTACTAATAGTAATTACTAATATTACTAAAATTACATTAATAGTAATAATATCACAAATTATACTGCACATTCATTTGACAAACCCCTGAGTTGAGTTATTAATTGTTGTTGATATATTTATATAGTATATATTAACTACAATATATATAATATTAACAAAGCTCGCCAAGCTCAGCTCATGGATCCGACGCGCCTACGTCCTACGATAAAGGTAAAAATGTAATAATATAATTCAACCTGGAAATTTCACGAGATGCCATTGTATAATATTATGTAGGTATCTTATCGTTTAAATTATTTAAAAAGTGTCATGCCGGAAGAACCTACAGATTTGGTCGGGTATTTTGAACGCACATAATTATGTAGGGTCGTATAAAAGAGTTGAGAACGGGCAATCGGAGACACGTATAAAATTGCGAAAAACATCTCCTCATTTTCCACCATCTGTTTGGAATGTAAGAGACGCGACATTAAACAACGGAGATCGGACTAACAATGTATGTGAGGGATGGAATTATCGGTTTTCAAACTTAGTAAGTACTTATTTATTATTTCAATTTATTTATTCAATTAAAATATTCAATATAATTTGTTTAATATTAATTAAGGTGAATCACAAACATCCAACAATTTGGACATTGATTACTAAGATGCGGCATGAAAATGCAGCAGACGAAACCAAAGTCGCACAGCGTCAACTGGGTACTATTGGACCACCATTGAAAAAAAAAAAGAAAATATATGTTAATAAATCTTTGCGAAGAGTACAATGATGGAAGTAGGGACATTCCAAATTTTTTAAATGCTATTGCTAATTATATTAGAAATTAAAATAAAATGTTCCATTTTTAAAAACGTTTTTCTAAATTTTTAGAAAATAGTGTAGGTATTATTTTATTGTGTGTTCATAAAAACAAATTATTTTACATTTTACATTTTTACATTTTTACATTTTACTATTAGTGATGCAGTGTAGATATATAGGTTTAACTAATTTTACGAGCTAATTTTTTTTAAAAATTTTAAATTCTTAGCGGAGCGATGAATGTATTGATTTTATAATGATRTGAGTTTTTTTTTCTAAATTTTTAGAAAATAGTGTAGGTAGTCATTTTTTTAGCAAATTATTTAATATTTTATTATGTGTATACTGTATTCACAAAAACAAATTGTTTTACATTTTATTTTATATTATTTGACTATTTGACTAATGTGTGTGCAGTATATTTTGTGATATTATTACTACTAACCTAATTTATATATTATATAATATATTTATATTTCTATAATGTGTAATTTACTAATTTACGTAAAAACGGATACATTTGGATATTTTGTCCTTGGATATTTTGACCGATTACCATCGCCAATATGTGTAATCTATAGGTCATGGCTCCATCCATTGTATATGATCTAAAGATGGGCGCAAATGGTTTGCACCGTATGAACTTAAAGCCTATGACACGCCTATGAAGTCTGACCACCAAATTTAGACTTCCCCATTRTTTTGAGCATGCTTAACTACATAGGTAGGTTCGTTAAAACAAAACAATTTAAAAACACACGWAAACGGTTAACTAGATTTTTTCCTAATAAAGTTTTATAGTTTTATGTAAATTTTAAGTACATAAAATTATTATTATATTTRTAGTGTCCATATGTGAGCACACCACTGGTCGTGGTAGTTGTATTCATAACATTTTATATGTGGATCAATGAGCATTATAATAATTTATATTATAGTAGTAGTATTATACTACTAGTATAATATCGGACTAGTTGTATCCGTAACATTTTATRATATTCGGAGTAGTACGTTCATTGTTCGGACGTACGGAGCATATTATGTTATTGTGGTATTATAATATCGGACTAGTTGTATACGTAACATTTTATACTCGGAGTAATAATAATATGTTCGGAGCAATATGTTATCGTGGTAGTACATTATCGTAGCAGTAGTAGCAACCCGTTGGCGACGTTACGCCGTTGTGGACCGTTCGTCTATTACGAAAATCTTGCGCGTAACCAATCAGTTATCAATGTTATCATCGCCCAAACAATATCATCTATTTTATTAGCTTATGTTTTTTATCATAAACCTTGCACCCCAGTTCGTTAGTAATTAATAATAATAACAACTCGGTGATAATAATAATAATAATAATAATATCGTTTATCGAGCACTTAGTTGCTGCTTTCTCTTGTCGCTACTGCTGAGTTCAAACAGTTCACGGTTCGTCGTTTGCTTTTCGCTCTGCGGGGACCTGGAGAATAACATCTAGTCGCGGTCCGCATCCGACATCCCGTCACCCACCGACTTACGCGCCGTTTGATCTCCATAACGGCCAGTCCTAGTACAACTACAATGTTGATGGTCGCTCACACAAACGCAGTAAGTGCGCCATGTAATCGTTTGGTACCATGAATGCATTCCAAACAATTTCAACGATCGGCTTATATACGTCCGTAGGTTACACACATCCACAACTGTCATCTAGGTGTCCCAGCTTGGTGACTGTTTGGTTTTTTGATGACCCTACTCGTATGTCATAGTTTATACTAGGATGACAATGTTATTCGGTTAATCTATACAAATTCTCTACAATTCATATAGAGTACTTCGATTCTTATATTATCTGTAACATTGGCCAGTATGAGAAATKTGATGAGTTTCATTCAAGTGATTGTGTTTATTCTGCCATTTGCATTATCTGCAAGTCCAAATTGGATGTAAGTCATTTTATTAGCTAGTCTCCATTGGAAAGTGATTGTAGTCATTATTGTGTTTGCTAAATATTGTGTTATGTAGTTTGAGTGTTTTTCATTTTTACTATTGTGGCGTTTAGCATTTTTTAAATTATTTATTTTTATAACTACCTATTGAATGCTTTTAATATTTTTGAATAAATTGATTATTTTCACTGAATTGTATTTTATGTTTGAATATTCTAGTACATTTTATTAAAACATGTGTAATTAATTAATACACAAACAGTTGTTTTAGCYTCTAAAGGTACAGTGAACTAGGTTTCCTTTCATAAGTAACTCGCAACAGCTTATATTATCATCATTAAATTTTTATTTGTAGTGTATTTTTTGTAAATTTATATATTTTTCAGGTAATGGCTTGTAGTTATACATAATGTGTATGTATAAAAATACCTCGAAATCGGTATCTACTTCCATATAAATACATACACAAATTAACCCTTAGAGTTAATAATTAGTCCCTTTTTGTAGAAATTATTTATTTATATTACTTTTATAAAATATCTTAACTRTGTACTAATTTTTAAATTATAGGTATTTAGGTATAATAGGAATACCTCCGCCTCTTCAACAACAACAAGCATCACCAGGCTCAGAGATTGAGGATCCAGAAATAGTTCAAGCCAGAGCTGTTTGTAGTGCTTTACCTGGTTTAGCATTAAAACAAGTTGATGTGTGCATGAAACATCCAAATGCTATATACTCAGTTTCTGATGGAGCTAAAAAAGCCATTGAACAGTGTCAGCTTCAATTTCGCCATGAACGATGGAATTGTTCAGTTATGGAAAACGAACAAAGTGTATTTGGACCTACACTAGACAAAGGTTTGTAATTAATAATTTTATAATGTTTGATTAATTATTATAACTATAATAAAATTAGCATCAAACCCATACAATTAAAACTCATTTTGTGTATTGATTTGTTTTTTCCGGATAAATTAAATACTAACATATTAATCAAATCACTTTTCCTTTTATTTTTATTTTATATTAAATATCTTAAAATACAACTTTTTTTAACAATAATTATCAATAAATAATTGCCATATTAATATACTTTGTTACTAATATATTAAAATTGCAAGCAATTAAATATTATAAACTTTTAATGACTTTAATAATTATTAATCTAATACAATTAAAATTATATAATATAGGTAAAATTATCTTTAAGATTTTAAATGAAACAATGAATGTATTGATTTTACCCCTGATTTTACAATGTTGTTTTTTATTTTTTATTTTTGTGTGTGTGTCTAAAGATACTTTAATAATATTAATACACTGATCATAAACTTTATGGGAGATTTCTAGTTGAAAGTTGGATTTAGTTAATACATACTTTCAAAGTCAAAGAAAAACTTTCTAAATATTTTTTTTAAATAATCGAAAAATACAGCAATATTTGAACAATTGTTAAAATATTAATACCATTTAAMATATTCTTTGGTAGCCTATATGCTTACACAGAAGCTTCAGAGTGAAAACAAAACCATCATCTAAATAGAGGAATAGATGTAACAATAATTCATTTAACATCATAGGTTAGCATTAATTTCTTATTACTTAGACAATGTCCCTATTTGTTTATTAATACTTCAACATACATTTTTATTGTAAATCAATAACTACTGTCAATAAGAATAAAATTAATATTAATAATGTCCCATTACTAAACACAGTAAACAGTTTATGAACTATACTGACTAAATAATTGAGGGGGCAATTCACGGTTTTTAATTTTGAAAGTGACTCACTATAAATGTATCAGTTTTTCTGTGGAGCTGAGCATCACAAGCTGATGTGAATAAAATTAGTGAGGTGTTGCACACAAATGTGCTTAATTTTATTCCACTATCACAACAACAGTAAATTACCATGATATCCACRACTATATTATAATGTTATATGCTTATGTAAACACAAATTTTACCACGCCTCACTCCGTAAGAGCACACCCATGGAATATCAGTTGTCTACAAAACAAATTGTCACATTAGATGATAGATATAATAATAAAAACAAATGTATTAACATTATAAGACTTATACAAAATGAATGTATTTTAAGACAGAAAATTTCATAATTAGTAATTATTATTATTTACTTGTGTAGGTAGTAAAGAGACTGCTTTCATATATGCCATCACCAGTGCAGGTGTAGTGTATTCAATTACAAATGCATGCAGTTCTGGTAAATTAACTGAATGCAGTTGTGACTCTATGCAACATGGCCAAACGACACCAGAAGGATGGAAATGGGGAGGTTGCAGGTAAATATTATTAGATTAATGTAATAATTTTATGGTTAAATAAATGTATRTACAGTGATCATTTTCTCAGGTAACATTAAAACATGTTACATTGTATTAGGACATCTTTAATTAGTATTGGTATAAAAATGTACATTTATAGAAATATTTTTAAATGTTTTAAATCTAGATGTATATTCTTCTATACCTAACTTTACAAATAACAATATCTATTATTCATACAATATTTTTTTTTAAGTTTTTTTACTGAACAACTATGACTCTTTAATAATTATTAAAGYCGGGTCCACACGATGATAGTTACTCTCGCAAGAGTCGCTATCGTGATAGTAGCTCTCAACTATCATGCATGTATGATAGTGTGAGAGCTGCTCTCACGATGGTTCGACAGTTACTATTGCTATGTTCACACGGCGATAGTATTCGATAGTACTATCACGATAGCAACTATCGCGAGAGTAACTATCATCGTGTGGACCCGGCTTAAATGCGAGCCACTTAAGATTTGACCTTGAATTTTGAAAACGTCAATTTCCAACATATTTCAGYAGGGAAATTTAATATTACCTGAAAATCTGATCACACTGTATAATGCTTATTATATATATATATTTAAATTTCAGTGATAATTTACGTTTTGGATTGCAATTCTCTCGAAAATTTGTTGATGGGTCTGAACCCAATCGCCCAGATAATTTTAAAACTACAAAACAAAAGAGAATCTGGTCTAATCGACTCAAAATGAACTTGCACAACAATGAAGTAGGCAGACAGGTAATACAGGCAGTTGATTTTTTTTTTTTTTAAATGATTCAGCATATAATATCCTTGGTAGCATTAAACAGAACTTATTTATAAAAATCACAATAGTTAATAATAACAAATTATTTTTATCTGYATTATAATAAGTAATGGGTGATATCAAGTTTTGAGGGTTAGGTTAAAAACTAGGCACTGATTAGTTAGTAAGATTTCATTACAAAATGTCCTTAGTGGTTGGTCTCTTTTTTATAAGTCAGAAAAACTACAATTTGTTTTGTACTATTAATCTACAATTAAAAGTTAATCAGTTATACAATTTTCAGATTGTTATGTCATTAATGAAAATGCATTGTCGTTGTCATGGTGTGTCAGGATCGTGTGAACTAAAAACCTGTTGGAAATTTATGCCATCATTCAATGAAATTGGGAATGAACTAAAACAGAAATATGGAAAGGCTATACTTGTATGTTTTATAATGTGATATTTAAAAAAAAAATAATTCTTATGTTTGTTGATAACTTCCATTATTTGTGATAGATAAATCATATAGTGAATGATTCACAAAAGAAAAACAGTACAATGCATAAGAAGAGAGAGCCTAGAGCTTTAAAGAGACTAAATAGACGAATGTTAATCGAATCAAAGGAATTGGTGCATATACAAAAGTCTCCAAACTATTGTAAGCAAGACTTTGAAAACGGAGTACTTGGTACAGAAGGGCGTAGATGCAATATTACATCAACTGGACCGGATTCTTGTAATAAACTGTGTTGTGGTCGTGGTTATATCACTAAGGTAATAAATATGACTAATAATTATGAATGTGGAATAAAAATGTGTTAATATTTTTCAGGTTGTAAAGGAAGAAGAACACTGCAATTGCAAATTTGTATGGTGCTGTTATGTTAAATGCGATAAATGCTACAAAAACATTGAACAAAAATCTTGTAAATAAATACATAGGATTTAACGTGTAATTGGGATTAAATTTTTTATGATTGCTTCAAAAGAAATCTTTAGTTTGTTCTTATGTATAAATTGCCAGATTGAATTCAATTAATAGAAACAATATATACAGTAAAATTTCCTTATAACAAAAGAACCTTCAGAAATCTCCTTTGAACAATTCAGTATCCCGTATATATTATAATCTCTTTTTAACGGAAAAATCATTTAGTACTGAGCGCTTTTGTTATATGGGTATTTTACTTTGTAGCAAATAATTTTCATATACATATCAAAAATAACAATAAAATCAAGCATATTCTACAACATTCAAATTATTTATATTATATTTATATGTTTCTGATCTCCTCAAAGAAACTATTCACACACGTCTTCCACAATTGATCAACTGTCGCTTGCACTCACATACTCTGTAGTATTCGAGATCATATTGTGTAGCGTTTAGGGCATTATATATTTATATTTAGTATTAAAATGTAACGATATATAAGAATGTMATATTATTCCTTAACATATTAAATTATTATTCAACTATAAGTTTGGTTTTATTTTATTTTATTTTATGACTCATTAATTTATATACTGAAAAACAAATTAAAAATGTATTCAACTACTAATTTATAATTTTATAACTGTATAAATATGAATTTAAGTATAAAAMAAATTAAGAAAACGAGGATGTTGAATCATACATAAAACATTTCACGAGTAATTAAAGTATTCAAAGTCTGACRTTAACAGGGCTGCTACTAAGTCATTTTTATCACTTTATTGATAAGATGTCACTTTTTGCATTTTCATAAAAATAGTCACTTATCATCCCTATTTTGTGTAACATTAGGAGATATTTTTTGCTCCTATCTAGATATTCATATTACAAAACTGAATACAAAACAATCATAACAATTTTATTAAAATCTTACTAATTTCACCCATTTTACACCAATTGCATAATATGTACGTAGTACGTAATATTTTAGTGTAAAATCGGTGTCCAATCTTTTACTTTATAGGTCTATGAAATATCATATCATATATTGTTAACATGCCTAAATTTTGTTTGTATGTTGGTTACACTGGAAATAAGATTGTGTATGAACCATAGATGGTACAACAAAACTAATAATAGAATATTAAATTAATATGCTATATTACTATATGCTAGTAACATATTAATATAATAGTCTTATTCGTTATTATCTATTATCATTATTTTTGTAAATAAATGTTTTTTCACTTCTTTCTTTAAACTAAAAAGATAACCTCCAGTGAAGTGGGATAGTGTACTGTGAATAAAGTGTGGTTTTAGAAAACTGAAAGTATTGGTTACAAGATATCAGAATGGGCTAAGCAAGTTGACAAAACACAAATATTTTGTATTGYTCAAACAATATTCAATGTGACAAAAAAAAATATCAAGCTCTGTTTCAGCACTCCATAACTGACAAACACAAATTGTAAAAGTAAGTTGAATTTAAAACGGTTACACCTTAGTCTAGTGTCAAAATCATCAAGCTCTACAACGACAGAGTTTAATGAGTCAACAAATGTTATTCCTTCTGGTAATCCAGAACTTGGAGTATACTGCAAGCAAGATGATGCTTCTAAAGCTGAACTTATGTGGACCATGAAGAGTGTATTGTGCAATATGACAGGCAGTTCATGTGATGAACTAAATGAATTATTTAAAGCTATGTTTCCAAAAGCAGTTCCTAATAAATTTAGTCTAAGTCGCTCAAAGATGTCTTACCTAATTACAGATGCTTTAAGTCTTCATTTTAGACAGATTGTTTTAGATGGAATTCAAAACCATTCAACATATTATACGCGTATGTATGATGAAACCACCAACTCTGGAAGTAAGAAAGAGTTACAAGTCGATGTGCGTTATTGGTGTAACACAAAGAAAGAGATTGTTGTAAGCCATTTAGAAACTTTTTTTATTGCTTCTGCCACAGYGGTAAAGATTAAAGGATATTTGTTGTTGGCATTAGACAATGCAGACCTTCCCAAAGAAAAATTACTAATGTTAGGCTCAGATGAACCAAATGTTAATAAAAAAGKGTTTCAACTTGTAAATGAAGGAATAAAATCTATTAGAGGTCATGGACTAATTGATATTGGTTCATGCAATATCCATATAGTACACAGTGTTTTTCTTAAAAGTCTTGACAGTTATGGATCTGATGTATCAGAATTTGTTATACTTGTTTATTATTTTTTTATAGGGTGGCCCAAGCAATGGGAAGATTATTCAGTCATTCAAATTGAAAAAAGAATTCCAGGGCACCAATTTATAAAACACTGTTCTTTGTGGTGGCTCACAATAGGTGCAGCAGATGAAAGAATATTAGAACATTGGGAAGCATTAATGCATTACTTTAAAATATATGTACCCAAAACATAGAAATGAAATATGGAACATGGAACAATGATTCACTATTTATAAATGAAAATCTAAAACCAATAAGCTCAATTAAATTGCCTGATAATGTTTCAGAAATATTAGCAACATTTGATGAAAAAAATAAAATAATGTTTTTGAAGAATGCGCAGACTCGTTACAAAGCAGCTGGTTGTCACATTTTAGAAAAAAGTTCTTTCAATCATGCAACTAAAATAAAATATTTTTGTTGTTTACAACCAAATGAACTAAAGGTGAATAGAAGAGATACATAGTCAAAATTTCTGAATTTAAATTTGACTAGTTTATTAATTGATGAATGGAGATTGTTGAGATTAGAAAAAACAACTATGCCACTTAATAATCGAAATGATTACTACAGGAATAATATATTTGAGATAAAATATAATTTTGGTGACCAAAAATATCCTTTTATTACAAAAGTTATAAAGGCAGCATTAACATTATCTCATAGCAGTGCTGATATAGAACAGCAATTTTCTGTGTCTGGTAATGTTTAAACTGAAGATAAAAGAGCTATGTCCTGTCGCATGTTAAATGCTCGACTCAATATAAAACAAGGCATAAAAAATTTTCACAATCGACGTGATTTAGAGCATATTGACAAGAAGTTTTTAATTGCTGCACAGTTAGCTAAGCAAAAGTATATGACAATGCTAGATAGCCAAAAAAAAAAGAACTTGAAGACTCTAACAGGCGAAAATTAAAAAAGAAGAAAATAGATGGAAAAAAAATCTTGAAGAGATAAATAATTGTGAAAAAAATATCATTAAATTGTAAGACCAGCTTAAGTCTGCACAAAAACATCAGGATCATCATAAAAAAGCAGCTGATAATTGCTATATGATGCTAATATAAGATTAAAAAAAGCGATTGTAAAAAATTATGAAGTTGAAATGAAAATTGCTCAGAGTATGATCGAAACTGCTACTTAATTAAGGAATGAAGAATGTGAAAAAGAAACTGAGACAGTGTATTCAAAAAAAAAATTGAAAAAAGAAAGAATAATAAAATAACAAAATTGAACAAAAAATCCAAGATAGATTTATTAATAACTGMCTAATTAATAATTGTTATTAATTTAATTTAAAAATTGTAACTTTATAATTATGTTTGTAAACAATATCATTTTTTTCTGTTAAAATATAAATAATGTTTCTTTTATTATTAATTGTAAGTCAAATAAATAACTAAGTTGTAAGGTCGAGGAAAACTGATTTAATTATATAATATTAATTAATGACAATATAATGATTCATTACAAGATGAGTCTTAGGTACCTAGTTTTTTTCTAAACAGAAACTTGTTTTATTCATACAAAGTAATAATATAGTGAAGTTGAACATATCATTCAATTTTAAATCTGGTTAGTATCCAATTAAAAGTGATAATATGATATTTCATGAAAAAATCAAGTAACTTTTATACCAAAAAATGTCACTTTTCTCACTTTTTTAAATTTTAGTAATGATAGCAGCCCTGCATTTATCTTTTCTCATGGCCCCATAAATATCATCATTGAAGAATTAATGAAAAGCTAAAAATCAAAAATCACATTCAGAAATAAATAAAACTCGATTATTATTATTTTAAAAGATTAATTATCATGAAATGTTACAAAAATCAATACATTTTATAACATAAAAAATAAGTTCTATAATAACAATTTTAACATAATTATTAATCAATTTTCCATTTACCAGTTATAACTAAACCCCGACAGTATGCACATACATAAACAATGACAAGAGGTGTACATTGACTTCCAATCATTAGGCTAATATTACATTATTAAAAATATTAAGTACTTAATTCTATGAACACAGTTATATAAGTCCAATTTTAAATGATTTTGGTGTCTGCATTTATTGCGATTTTATTAGATTTCAATGCTATTTGAATATCACAAATAGGTAAATTTAAAAATTAATTAGTCACAATAAATTAAATGTGTAGTTTAAGACCATATACAGATTTAGTAAATTAACATTATGTACATTATTTACTTATTATAAATTTCCAAATCCCCCCCCCCCCACAAAAAAAAATTATAATCATATCTTACATATTATAACATATTTATTTGTATAAAAAGATATTTTTAAATTAGATAATATTATCATAGAATAAGCTACAGTAGTAAACAGTCATGTAAATTTTGGAACTTAACAATATATTAATTATAAAAATGTTTAAACAGCCTATTATAATTTTTTTTTCTTATAACTTAACTTAACACATACTTGTTAAAGTCAAATTCACATTTAGGCAGGAAAGGTTACAGGCTATTTTATTGACCAATATTGCTGTCATAAATATTGTCTTGCATATTCAAAATAAACAAAAATAAATTCATCATGCAATGGTGATAAAAACAATGTATGATTAAATTACATTATTTCTTCACATACCTAATATTTAAAAATTAATTATTATTAATTATAATTTTGGAGTAATTTACAAAAAATAAAAACATCCAATGGACATTTTTTGACCAAATTGCATTATTTTATCTGAACTCGTGTTAGTTAATATTATATGAACGTAATTTAACTATGTTTAAATTGCAATTTGTTGGGAAACAATAGTTTTAACAATTTCTAACCTAATCAAAAGCATTGTTTAATCATTTCGAATAATATAAAATGCATTTTTTTTTCATTTTCTTTAATCTATTATTACAAATAGCAAATAGGTCATATCTTTTTTTTTTAAATAGTCTACAAAATGGCATGATTTCATATTTCAGTTTACTGACATAAACATTTATTTAAGTAACTTAAATTAAATACAATTAATTTAAGTCAAATTTAACTTATTTGTAATGGCTGAGATAATAAAATAAGTATTTAATGTTACAATAGATTGAAAATACCAGTATTTTTTTAGTGCACTCAACAACATATATTT